CTGGGCTGTGCAAGACTGCGGCACATGTGACGCTGTGGTCGCGTGCTGCTGCCTCTCTTCATGTTGGCTGACTTGATGCCTGGCTGCCGCCTGGCCCTTAGCCCTTGGCCCCTTGCCCTAGGCAGAGCCCACCGAGTTCGACTGAAGGCAACTTTTGCCGCTTGCGCTTCATTTGAGTTTGTTGCTGCAATTGGCTTGGGCGAGGGCAACTGCTGCTGCAGCCTGCTCTTATCAAGAGCAGGTCATCAAGTTGCGGGGTAAAAATGGCAGCAGGGAGGCCATAGAAAGTGTAATATTTATTTTTATGGCCAAAGTTTGTCAGCAGAGTTTCATGGCGATAGCATTTTATCGATAACAAACTGAGCTGTTGATTGCCCTGCGATTATTCAATACTACTGCCCCAATGACATAAGCTCTGCTATAATCCAGCCTATCCCCCCTCTCTCTCTCTCTCTCTCTCTCTCTCTCTCTCTCTCTCTCTCTTTCTCACTCTAGCGTGTTTAAGTGACTGAAGGCGAGCTCTTAATTTAACGGTAATTTGTGTCGAACAGACAGCTCAGCTCGCATCTTTGTCATGCCCAGCCCCCGCGCTGCTGTCCCCCGTTTCACTCTACTGCGTTTGTTCTCCGTTTGCATTGCGACTGCGCAGCCGCTGCGCAGGCTTTTCTGCAGCAGGCGCACAATTTACAGTTGTTTAGCCACAGCAGCGGCAACGCCTAATTGGTTCTTGTTGTTGTTGCTGCTGCCGCCGCTGCTGCTGCTGCTGCTGCTACTTATAGTAAATATGAATTATTATTTATTTTTATTGAAGCGGGCAGCGGCGTTTTCGTCACATTTTGCGTGGCTGCTGCCAAATGCAAAAATTTATTTGTTTTCATTGTTGTTGCTGCTGTTCGTTGTTGTCGTTATTGTTGTTGTTGCGAAATTGTGTAATAAATAATTTACGCTCGCTTTTGCAGCGTGCCACATAATCATATTCAATAAAAACAACAACAACAACTGCAGCAGCAACAACTGCCATAAACTTGGGTTGGGCATTGGACACTACTTCGCATACTCCTCGATCCCCTTCTACCCGCTGCCTGCCCCCCGGTTCACTCAGTTACTCTGTTTACTGCGGCCGCCTCGTTTAACTCTTTGGGTCGCTGACCCAGAAATGTCAACGGGGAAGTCTTTTAATTTGTATACATCGTTTATATACACACATGCATGCATGCATACATGCATACATGCATACATGCATACATGCATACATGCGTATGTATATGTTATTATTATTTGCTTTCATTTTATCATGTGAGCCTTAAAAAGTGATTTAAATTTATTTTTGACATTATTATTTTATTATTACTGTTCATCATAATTGATATCCATACATAATTGATGTACATACAAAGTGTTGCATATTTAGAGCATAAAGGATTGTGTCGTCATTTTTTCAGCTTGCTTACAGTGAAAACTCTCCTAACGAACACTCCTGTCAAGCGAACACCCCTCTTGAGCGGACATTTTCTGACATACTATCAGGCTATACCTATTGCCCCTCTATAGGATTGACAACAATCCTCTTGAGCGGGAAAAGAGTTGTCACTGTATATGCATGCACATACAGACATTTGTATCTTTTAATCCGATGGATTCATTACATTGTCTCTAAGCCAGTTGTGAATAAGAACTTACATTTGTACATAGTACATACATATGTACGTACATAGCTTCAAATATCTGAATACTATTTTGTCCATTATGTACTATCTACATACTGACATATGTATGTACATATACTTATACATGTATTTTGGTAATATGTACATACATATGCACATGTGTATGTAAATATTATAAAGTTATTCGACTAAATCCTGCCACATAGTCCTACCTGTACCTGTCTTTGTCAAATGCCCTTATCAATTCGAACGGTGATGCATCAGATCGTTCGTATAGGCTTGCCGCTTGACACCAAAAGAGCTACAGGGTAACCCTACATACATGTACACACATGCATACATATACATACATGCGCATGAAAGACAGCGCAATTCAAGTTCTAACTCTAGATAAGATCCTAGAAGAGGCTTTCATGCCATCTCCCCCTCGTGAGGTAATACTTAGCGGTCGTTCCGCGAAAGGGAAACGGAGAGTAGGTGGTGGTTTTAGTGGGTGAAAGTCCCACACTTTTCGGCTTTAAATGCTTTCCCCCCTATTAAAAAAAAAAAAAAAAAAAAACATACATGCGCATGAAATAAAAATAATAATAATTTAGTGGGAAAAAAACGTAAATCTCTGAGGCAATTTGCGACCGCATTGCTCTCACATTACGCTTAATCAGTTTCATTGCAAAAACAAAAGAAATCAACAGGCAGCTGCAACAACAGACCCGGCCCATACATACATACATATACATACATATATGTAACACCAGTTCTCCAGGCCATACACCGATACAACTCCCCCCGCCAAGAATCGTAGTCAAGTAATTGGAATCCCTAATGAAAAAGCTTTGTGATAAAGCCAGCAAAAACCAAACGAAAAAAAAAAAACAAATCAAACTAAAGCAAAACGAGGCAGAGTATAAATTATAACAAGTAGGAATGTTACAGTCGGGTGTAGCCGACTGCACAATACTCGTTATCAGTTCAATAACAGCTTTAAAGGCGTTAACTGTCAAATTGATGCGGCGTTTCCGATTTGCCACGCCCAATCGCTAGCTGCTGCAGCACCCGGACATAAGGACAGCAGGGCAGAAGGACTGCTAGACGAACATGGCGTATAACTAATATACCCCACTCACTTTGGCATAGAGTACAAAAAGCGAGCCCCTTTTTCTGTGTGCTGCTGCCCTCTCCTCTTCTCGTCCTCTTTGAACCTCTTCGCTTGTTGCATGCGCATTCATGTTCATGTTTTTTTTGAATTTCATCATATTGGGCAATCCTTGCATCACGCGATACGTTATGTGTGTCTCTTATCTTTATCTGTTGTTACGGCTTTATCGGCATTTTCTTTACCGACCTTCTCCAAGTTGTGCAGTAGAAAAAGTTGTAGAAACTTTGTCGCATGACTTTTCGCTGTGAATTTCAGTTAAGTCAAGATTAGACGAATTATTTTAGATATACAGCATATAACTGTTAGATCGAGTTCTTTAACAGATCTATCTATACATAACACAGACATGTGCATAAATACATACATATGTATGTATCAATATAAAGATATTTATCCGCAATAAAAAAAAAACACAAGTTTCGAACAAAGAAAGTTATTATATATTATTTAAAATACATATGTACATATACATATGTACATATGAACTTATAACATTCATGTGCAGAATTATTATTATTAGAATTATTAGAACCTTAGCTAAATAAAACCCATTTCGTATTATTTTGTATTTTCTTTCGCATGAAGTTTCGCGCGCGCAACAAAAATGTAAGAGCGCAGAGAGAATGATTTAGCATAATTTGAGAGCCTGTTATGGAAGGTTACGATTGTGGCTCAATGAAACAGGTTTGGAGCGCTTTAAGGATATGGTGAAATTGTTCAGATTGTGACAGTATAGAGCAAATGGGGCTTAAGAACTAGGAATAATAGTCGATATATTCCACTGATCTGAGAATATGTACATTAAGTTAGGTCAATAGGTCAATAAAGAAACATATCAAGAAATAACTATATTAACATAAAATAAAACCTATGCCTGCATATGTACATATACTGTAAGTTCGTCAGGCCAAAATATTATTGCCAAGTTGAACTGCCTTTTAACTACCTTTTTCTACTACCTTTTTCAGTTCGCGTACTCTGCTACACTTTTTGGCGCGTAAACTGAGCTCAATCGCTTCCAACCTCACACGTTATACCACGTACTTGCAGCATATTGGGATACTTGAAATACAATCTTGTCTAATTGAAACATATATTTGACCAACAAATCTTTCGGATAATTAAAAACAGGGAAATTTGGAATGTATACATGTGCCCAGGTATATTCATTTAAATTATGTTTATAGCATGTCTAACGGTCGAGCCAGCGCGTACTCGATTTATTTCTAAGAGCAAAACCTTTACTCTCGCTCGTTTCGTGTTCCTTTCTTTTTGTTGTTGCTCCATGACAAAACGCCAACAACAACAACCACAAGCGACGCAGACTTTGTGCCTGCAATCGCACTTTTTGTTTTGCTTCGACGTTCGCTGCTCTGCCGCGTCGCTGTTTGTTGTTGCTGAGTTACCTGCTCAACAAGATCTTTGTGCTGCCTCGCACTCGCACTCGCACTCGAACGAACAGACACACACACACACAGACGCACGCTCAAGCAGACACAGACACGCCGCCTACTCACTCGCTCTCATAGTGAAGAGCGTAACGCTCGCGCTGAATTTTTATTTTGTTTTTGTTGTTTCTTTTTTACTCCGCTCTTTGCATTGTATATGCTGCGGCGTTGGCGTTGTCGTTGTCGTTGTCGTTGTCGTTGATGTCGACGTCGACATCGACGTCGACGCTGGGTGCCCCGCTGCGTCCCCACAGCCATAACTACTCACTACTACCTGCAGCAACATGCATGTGCATAAGCATAAAGCCTAGGCAGTCCGGCTGCACTCTGGAAGTGTGGCAGCGACGCCGCCGCTGCAGAGGCTCTCCCTCTGCTCCCATGCTCGATGCGGTGCTCTCTTAATTTGAGTCGTTTTTTAAACGCGCGTATCTTGCAGATACGCTGCCTCGCATTGCGCCGCACAGCGCATTCAGTTTAGTTCAGTTCAGCCGCGAAGCGAGTAAAGACGTGTTTTCTCCTCAAACCCAGCCAAGTGGAAATCAAATCGCAGTTTGAGTTTGCGACACGTTTTAAGTGCTTCGTGTGTTCTTTCTACGCGACTTGAGAGTTTTGAGAATTGTTTGTGTTTTTAAATAAGTTGCGCGAGCTTTATGAAAAATGCGAAAAAATCGAAAAACTAACTAAACATAAATAACAAAACAAAAAGAAAATTAAAACAAACTTAAGTGTACAAAATAAATACTAAACAAAGATCTTACGATACGACAAATGAAAATAAATAAACAAAGCAAAGAATTGAAATACTTTGAGTGTTTGTGCTGCAAAACATTTCTGAAGTTTAACAACCTAAAATGCTGCAATTTTTAATGTTCAAAATATTGCACAAGAAATACAAAATCAATTGAGTGCACGCCCTGAAAAGTGTCACTGAGAGACAGCAGAACAATACGAAAAGCCAGGTCAGAGCAGGACAAAAGTCCCAAATTGAAAATCCAAATCAAACGCCGAAGCACCGCACAACAAATTTACGAACTTAGCCAGCCCATACACAAATATTCACACACGCACACCCACCCACACACACACACACACACATACACAATGGCCGTGCCCTTTTATCTGCCCGAGGGCGGCACCGATGACATTGCCTCGAGCTCATCGGGCACCTCGGGCGTCTCCTCCTCCTCGTCGGCATCCTCCTCGTCAGGCGCATCCTCATCGTCGGGCGTCTCCTCCTCGTCGGGGGCATCGGATGGCGCCAGCAGCGTCGCCTCACAGTCACCCAACACAACCACCTCGGCCACGCAGACGCCGATGCAGTCGCCGCTGCCAATGCAAACGGACCAGGTGCTAATCGCCCTCTGCGAATGGTATCAGCAGCATCAGCGACATTACATCGGTCAGGCGAATACCTCGGGTAAGTTAATGGCTAGCAAACCCTTTGAATACACTGACTCCCTAAATGGGTCAGTTTTTTTTTTTTTGTTATTTTTTTTTACAGCTCTAATTAGCCAAGTTGCTGTCGCTGGCCACTTGACTGCATTTCCTTCTGTAGGTTTCACTTTTCAAGGTTGTTGACTCATTCCAAGTTTTATGCCCCCGACTATTGTCGTAGCTGCTCAGTTTGTTTAGCCACGTTCGCGATTGTTTTGTTTTTGTTTTTCTTTTTTTTTTTGCGTATGGTCAGCACATTCAGTAGGGCATCATGTTACCCCAAATTCTGTATTAGGGTTGAGGGGAGGGTTGGACTTGACAAATTTGCTTTAAGAAATTAAGATATTAGGCTAGTTCTTAGCTTCAGAACATACTTAGGATATACTCATTGCTCTGCTCAAATGTGAATACTATAAAGTAATTCCGACTAGAAAATATCCTATATTTTAGACCCATAAAAAACGTATAGTATTTGCCTATTTGTCAACCTTTTTGCTGACTCAGTTCCTTTTCATAATATGCTTAGGACATTATTGCAATATTAGATAGAAATTATATATGAATCATCTAAAAGTCAGGGATTCCTTTGAGAAATATTACTAAGAATGTTGTAGTATTTCCTTTCTTTAATATTATTTGTATTCCCCAATGGATCATCTCAAAATCGATGCTTCAAATAGGGATTCCTTTAAAATATCTAATATGCATGGTTCTTAAAGTAATTCCCTTTTTTAAACCGCAGCATAATCCTTTCTTTAATTGGGTTTTCATTCTCCAATGGATTCATTCAATATAAATGAGTATGTCCTTAATTCCTGGCTTGTTTCTTGTTCTTGAATCATAGATTCTTTCTATTCATATATTCCCCAATAGATCATCTGCAAATCATTGGATCATCTCCAAATCAATGCTTTAAAAAGGAGTTCTAGATGGAACTTGTAGTAGTTCCCAACCGCAGCGCTGACTAATTATAGTCTCTATATATATATGAATCAGCTGTAGAGGCGGTAAAAAACGAACACGCCCCTGATTAGGCTCAAGCAGTCGCGATAAGTCAGTTCTATTGCCAATTTAACGAAATCCAAGTTGATTTTCAAGTGGTAAGCCACAAACTTGTGCTAGAAAAAAAAGCGAAATAAACAAAATACAAGAGACAAAAGGTGGGCGTGTGCTGCCTGTTGCTGGAGTGTCCATAAAAAAGAGCTCGGCACGTTTAATTGGCACGCGCCAAAAATACAAAAATACTAAAGCGCCAGCTCCAGTTAGATACGTCGATTGCAGTCGAATGTCTTATTCGAATTGTGTATCCATGAGATATGTATCTTTGTAACTGCTTGTGTGTGGCACGTTTCTAGCTGCGGCCAGTTGCTGCGAGCCACTAACCCAAATTATTAAACGCCATTTGACCTTAGGCGCACGTCTGGCCCAGGCAGCAGTTGCAGCAGTTGCAGTTGCAGTTGCAGCTAGTTTCGGCTGTGTTTACAAAGCATTTGACTTAACGGTAGTTTAAGTAGCCTTTGACTGCGGTCAAAGCATTGTTGCATGTTGGCTTTTGCGGTCTCTCTGTCTCTCTCTGTCTCTCTCTCTCTGTTGTCGCGGCTTTTGCGTAATGGACCCGGCCCCTTGTCGTCGCCTGTCAGCTGCGGTTTGTTACGCCGGACATTGAGAATGGCGAGAAAAACAATTTTCAGTGTTTGCTGGTTTTTTCTTTAATATATTTTTGGAATTGTGTTTTTCTTAGCTCAGCTTCAGCTGCGACGCCCCGCGCTGATTATTATTTATGGCCGAGCTAGGCAAAACCCTCGAGAGCTCCCTACCTCGAACGGCGGGCGAGTCATGAGTCACATTTTTGCTGTTGTTTATTAACTGCAATATACAATATATATAAAATAGATATGCACTCTTACATATATATTGATTATAGCAGCAAAAAGCAATTTTTTTGGCCTGTCCAAAACGCGTTGGCAGTCGCCACCCGTTTGCCTAATTGCCCTGGTCGTCGGTGCTGCAAGGGGAGGGGGCGGTAGCTTGGAGGCCTGCCTCTCGGGCCAGCCAGCCTGTCTATCTGTGTGTTGCAATGCGACTTGGCTTACGAGTTTTTGATCGAGCTATCCAGGCACTTGCGTTTTCTATCAGTCCATACACTTGGCTGACGCAACTCGCTTAGCCACACGAATTGCATTTTCGCTAAGCCTTAAAGCTGCTATTAAATGGCATTTCAGGCCAATACTAATACATAGTAGACTCTTCCCAAGTAAGTTAGATTCCATTTACATAGCTTAGCTAAGGCCAACCCTGCACACAATTTGGCTTAGCCCTTGTTTGCACTCGCTGGGCCTCAAGTGCATAATTTATCTAATAGTAACACATTTGAACAACTAGGCAACACTGCTTTGGGCACTTGACAACACTAAGCTAAGCTCGAGCTTAGCCTAACCCTATGCCGTTATGCATTTAGCTTGATGACGAAACCCTTTCGCACACATCGTTTTTTTTTTGTTTTTTATTTTCATTTTTTGCCGCAGCATCTTCAACGCGCACCCAACTCCAGCTCGGGAGAGTCCCCACAGTCGCCACGTTTGGGGCAACGCTTAGTCATCAAACTACCAACCCCAAAGCCTAAAATATGTGTGTGTATATAAAAAGTACCAATTCTCTGCCCCGCAAGCCGCGCAAAAGCTTCAAGTTCGTCAGCAGCGACAGCAGCAGCAGCGTTTGGGCGCCTTTTGTGCTGCCTCTGCTTCTGCCTCTGCTGCTGCTGCGGCTGATGGGCGGCTGTGCGCCTAAGTTGCTTAAGCGGCTCCAAAAACCCACCCTTAAAATTGGGGCCTAACAAAAGGTGCAATGACAGTGCGGATAGTCCCCCCCTCCCCCCAAATGCCCCGCTACAGCGAGGCACAATCAGGGTAAAAGCGACGCCGTTTTGGCAGTTCCCTTTTGGTCTGGCCATTCGCGTCATTCGACGATTCCTTTCGGCTTGTTGCCAACAGCTGTTGCTGCTAGGCGTTGTTTTTGCTGCCGCTGTCGACGTCGCCGTCGGCTTTGGCTGCGCTGTCGCTCTTGACATTTTCCACCATTTTGTTTTGCTCAGCAACTTCGCAGTTGAGCTAGCGGAAATCAGCGAAGCGCCGCACATATAAAAAAAATGGCGGCAAACATGGCGACCTTTTGGCGTTGCTTTTCCTGTTCCTGTTCTATTGCTGCTGTTGCTGACCTGGCAACAGCTGACGGCGCATTGGATTTTGCGCAGAGAGTGATGACGCGAGGGGGGGAGAGGGGGTTGGTAAGAGAGAGAGAGAGAGAGAGCTAGCTGTTGATAGATAAAGAGAGCTGATTCTGCTGCTGCGGCTGCTTATTATCTCATTGCCAGGCTCGCTTCACTCATTTTGTACAGCCTACACAGCGACTTGTGTGCTTCAGCACCAACTTCATAATCATCTACATCATCACAGCTTCATCATCATCATCATCATCTGCATTTAGATTTCCTTTCTGCACTTTGCGGCTGAACAAATGCAAATTTACTCGGCCCTGTTGCCAGGCCAGTCTCCGATTTATATATGTGCATATACACGTGTGTATATGCATGTGTGTGTACATGTGTGTGTATGTGTGTGTGTGTTTTAGCCATGGCTTTGAGTTGCGGCTGCCAATGCTCGGCTTCACTTTGTGCATTGTTTTCTTGCTTTTGTTGCTGTTGTTGTTCGTGATTTGGTTTTACATTGACCGTGAATTTATTTGCCGCTGTTTTATGCAAATCTGAAATGTTGCTTGTCGCTGCGGCAGTTGCTTCATTAATTGCTTCATTCAATTTGAGGATTGCGTTTCCACTGCGGATGTTGCCTGTGGTGCCAGCCAGCCTCCTCTCCCCTCCCCGCCTCCCGCCTCCCTGTGCTCCTCTCTGTGCATCCTTGTGCTATGCTTTTATATGCAGCCAGTTGCCATAAACATTTTGATGACCGAAAAATCTATCAACGCAGCTGCTCAGCTGTGGCATGCCGCTTGGTCTAGCTGATACACAAAAATAATATTTCTACTTCCCATTTTCTGGTGCTCAAGTTTTTTATGACATATTTTTTGTGGGCATGATAGCTGCAGGGTCTGCGATGATAGCCCAGCTGTGCTGCACATTTGGGCTGAGTTTAATGCGGGTAACACAATATCCAATACCCTTTAAGAGAGTATCGCATTTCTAGTACCCTTTCAGAGAGTAGCACATTTATAATACTGTTACAGAGAGAAGCATATTTCTAATACCCTTTCAGAGAGTAATACATTTCCAATTCCCTTTCAGAGAGTAGCTCATTTCCAAAGCCCTTTCAGAGAGTATACGACTTTAAATATACAATTATAAATTTTAAAATTATTTTATATGCAACACAAGCCAATTACGAGAAGGTAATTAAATGATGAAGTAGAGGCTATGATCATAAATATCCATATTATTGCAATAAATGCGAACGATCGTAAGTTGAAAGTTGTTCTATAAACAAAAGATTTGCTTAACAATTATCATTCGTAAAGTGAAGGGTATTTAATTTTCGACTTAGATTGCGGTTCTCTGCTTTATGTTTATCTTTTGATTTGAAAACTATGCATCTTTAAAGCAGCCCGGGTTTTGTTTATTATTCACACCATTCAGCGCAATGAACTTTTCACATTTCAAGTTTAAATGCCCGCCAGGCACTTTGCTTAATAAGTAAAGCACGAAAGCAGCAGCAGCAGAAAAAAAATGAATAAAAATAACAAAAATTACCGTTAGCTAGGTGCATAAACTTGACACTAGGAATGAGCTACCTATAGGCTCTAACACTAAGTAGTAGTATGTATCCAAGTGCCTGACTGTCTGGTCTTGCCCGTGTGCATGTGTGTGTGTGTGTTGTGTGTGTCTAGTTGGCTTTTGATTAAGTCTCACACGTCTGAGGCCGTGCTAAATTGTTTGCATTGAAGCATTGCACTGAACTGAACAGACTTTGTGCTGGG